TGACGGAGCGAGAGCTCGGAGGGCCGTCTGTTACTACGGAACGTCTGGCTCACCTGGTGTCCTTCATCACGTCCTGCTCTCAGCCTTGGGCTTCTGGCTTACTCCTCACCAGACTCTCTCTGTCCCTGAGTGTCCTGCTGTCTGACACTCAGCATCATTTCTATCGCTCAGGTCCCCAGACAGGGGCTCCATTATTTTCCCTGGGTACACTGCAGGAGGTCTTCTTTCATTCTGGGGCAGGACAGAGGGCACCCAGAACATAGATTACAGGCCTTGGGCCGCCTGGAAGAATACCACAGGCATCTCTCCCAGGAACATCTCCCTTGGACCACCTTGGTCAGGTGCTGGAATGTCCCAGATCAGCCATAGGCAGCATGTCCGTCTGCCTGAAATGCCTTGCTGGCCACAGTCTCCTGGCATCTGAGGGATGCTCCACAGGGCAGGGGCTCCCCTCCCCCTCCAGGAGATGCATTATCAAGGTAGCGTAAAAACACTGAAAGGGATAAAATGATGCCATTATCAAATGAAATTAAGGGCGGGGACCTCTTTACTTGCTGGATGTAACTAAGGAGTTTCCAGGGCTTCCTTTGCTCCCCTCTCCTCCCCTCTTCAAGGTTCCAAACTCTTGCTTCAGACTCGCCCTCCAGCTTGGCATCAGATCCACCAGTGAGGGTTGTCTCCATGACAATAGCTCCTCCTTCAGCTTCTGAGGAGTCCTCTGAGCTCCTTCACACTGATACACACATCTTGCCTGTGTTGTGTTTATGCAGTGCAGCTCTACGTTTTCCTGAAGAACTGACAAGAGTAACAACTGAAGAGACATAGTCAGCTGGGCCAAGGCAGAGGCCAGGATGAGGAAGAAGAACCTGTCAAACAAAGGAGAGGGCTTGGAAAAGGGACCTGGGATGGAGGAGGACGAAACAAGACAACAAACTAAAAGAAAGGGCAGGAGAGAGACATAGTGCGGGGAAAGTTTGGAAAAGTAGGCTGAGGTTAGGTCGTGCAGGGTCTGTAGGCTGTGTAATGACAACGACCATGGTCCTGAGAGCAACATCCTTCAACCTAGAGAAGTAACAACCAGAGGTGGCCAGATGTGAGTCTGAAGGCACCACTCTGCTAGCGGAGAGCAGACAGCAGCAAGCAGGGATAGCTCCATGAATGCGCAGACACAGCTGCAGAAAAGAGCTTTTCCAGGGTCTGGTGCTCTGACCCTGCTGTCTTCAAATTCCAAATAATTTTCAGATAAATTAATTAATCGTGTATAATACTGTGTGTGTGCACATGCGCATGCATGTGTACACATCATGTATGAGAGTGTGTGCGCATGACTCAGAACACATGTGAAAATCAGGACAGTTTGTGACAGAGGGTCTCTCCTATCATGTGGGTTCTAGGGATTGAACTTATATCTTCAGGCTTGGTGGCACACATCTTTATCAGCTGAGCCATCTTGCTGGTCTGTCTATGATTTTTCAAGAGCAGTCTGGTGTGACAATGATGCTTCCAGGGCTAGCTTCATGTGTGGTAACCTCCCACTGCCTCACTCGGGCTGGTCCTCTGCCCTCCCTCTCTCTACTCCTGCCTAGATTCCTTCTGCCTACAGCAGGGATCCAGCTGCAGGTTTCTAGAGAGTGGAGTTAGGAATATTCCCAATAGCATCTCAGCATGGGCCATGGCAGTGGTCCCTGGTCCAGACTGACAACACATGACATATTCAGCAGAAACATTTCTATTCCATGTACCTGGTGAATCCCCGCCCATTTGTAATACCCCTGGGGATTGCCTGTCCTCCATAGACTGAGGAGTCAGGCCATGATAAATGGAGATGCCTGGCTCAACTTCCCTGTCCCCAGCAGAACACAGGCCAATCTGGTACCTGGCAGGAAACCTCTGAACTTGATAGATTTCAGTATGCATTCTATAAATATTCATACTGAAGGAAGTGCAACTTTAAATAGTAACTAAAACCACCATAGGCATGGAGACACCCCAGACATCCACCAGTGGCATTGTTCTTGTTGCTTACGTGACTCGAAGGACAAAGCGGCCCTGAGAGCTGAATCCTGCCAGGTGGCTGGCTGTGGTAATCAATGCTGTGACAACCGATTCTGCAATTTATTTTTAGTCCTCAGACCTATGACTTCTTGAAGTCTTCAAACATACATGTTCAAACTGCTCTGTCTAACAGTCTGGGCTGACCTGGGGCACAGCTGCCTAGACTTGAAGGCAAATTGCTTTGAAGCAGCAGGAACAGCCATTAAAGAGCTGGGACTTTCAAGGCCAGGTCCCCCTCCCTGAGGACCGGGTTTGGTGTGGGCAATGGCTGGTGAGGGAGGGAACCACGTTCACATACAGTTCCATTTCCTGACAGCTTCTTACAGACCTCTGTCCTATTCTTCCATTCTCCCATCTCCTCTACATCCCTCCAGTTCCCTCACCGCTCATCCCCCATGGTGGTACCATCTGGGCATTATTGTTCTTACAAACCCCCTCCCTCCTTAGTACCCACCTCCCTCTCCACAACAGTCTTCCGATTCCACCCATAATGAGAGATCTTTCTGGAACTTGTCTTTTAGTCTATAATTCCCTTAGTGAAGAAACCACGTCTGCTTCCCCTCCTGGCAGACATGTCCCAGCAGGGTCTGACATGAGATGGTGTCCAGCAGCCTTTGCAGATCTAAGCTGAGGAGAAGGTCTCACGGTCACCGTGATTTTCTCCAGCATCTGTAACATCCCCAAAGGGTCTGCTCTCACAGCAACAAGGCCGTGTGGCTGAGTGTGGCTATCTACTCTTAGCCAATGAGACACCCAGGAGATCTCCCAGAGGGCTGAGGAGCAAGACTTTGACAAAGACAGCATAGACTTCACTTTTCTTAATTTGATGTGGCTGCATCTGGAGGGGTGGGCTAGAGATGCCACATCTGGAGGGGTAGACTAGAGATGCCACCACGCGCAGGGAGGAAGACCATCAGCAGAAGAGGAATTGAGAGAAGCCGAGCCGGAGCCTCAATGCTCGCCAGCTTGAGAAGCCCCGCTTCCACATCCCTGTGCAGCTGACAGTAATGCTCTCCCTGTCACGTACTCTTATTCGTATTTTGTATGGTGAAAAGCCTTCCCAGCCAATACATATAACACTGTGAACACAAAACCACGTGCCAAGCCCAACAGCGTCTTTTGGCTCAGGTTTTCCACATGTCTGCTGGGGAGAGGGGCCTGGAGGCAGAACTGGCATGTTGGCAGAAATAACTGCCGAGGCCAAGGGCGTTTGCCTTGGTGTCATTTAGGCCTGGGACACAGCGGCCCTCTGCTTCTTGGCCCTTAGAACTTGAGGGCGTTAAGGTAATCGTTGAATTTCTCCATCAATGATGAGTGTGGAATGCATAAGGACTGGGAGACTTGATGCTGCACTGGTACTTAGTAAGGAGTCCAGAGCAAAACTGGCTGCTGTTCTGGGGCTGTAAAAGGCAAATGGTGAGCCGGGTGGTGGTGGCACACGCCTTTAATCCCAGCACTCTGGAGGCAGAGGCAGGAGAATCTCTGTGAGTTCGAGGCCAGCCTGGCCTACAAGAGCTAGTTCCAGGATAGGCTCCAAAGCTCTAAGAAGAAGAAGAAGAAGAAGAAGAAGAAGAAGAAGAAGAAGAAGAAGAAGAAGAAGAAGAAGAAGAAGAAGAAGAAGAAGAAGAAGAAGAAGAAGAAGAAGAAGAAGAAGAAGAAGAAGGCGGCAAATGGTGAAGGAAGAGCTTATCCAGGGAAGGTCTGAAGGATGGAAGAATTTGCCTTGGGAATGAGGACCAAGGGAAGCAGTCCAGAAAAGCGGATCAGATACGTGCCACCTGCACTCCCAGGACTCAGCGCCTCCTTGTTCACTGCTGTGTGCACCTGGCTATCTATCTGTTCTGCAGGATCAGAGTTCAGTTCCCAGCACCTACACTGGGCAGCTCTCAACTGCCTGTAACCCCGGCTCCAGAGAGCTCTGGCGCCCTCTTCTGGCCTCTGCAGGCATTTGCATTCACATAGGAGACACGCACCTATCCATACAAATAAAAATAAAAAAATGAATCTTTTTAGTATTAGCTCAAGTCCCAGGGGTCCAGAGCTAAAGGCATCCAGCACCAGGCCCACTGTGCTTCTTCTCGGAGGGTTGTTGAAGGAAGCCTGGGTGTGCCTCTCTCTAAGCCCTGCCATGTGTAACCTGCACTTGGGAGTGGAGCTGCCTGATCAGCTCCGCTGTCCTAAGGTAGGCCTCGGTGAAGGTGGTGATTTGTGGGCAGTCTCTGACTCATCCTTTTCATCAGCCCACCCTAGCCTCAGGACTCCCAGAATCCTCTTCTGCTGAGTGGGCAAACCCCATCTCCAGACTGTGTTCCTTGGGACCTCCCCTACAAAGAGAAATTCCGGAAGTATCTCTGATGCGAAATCCTCTACCACAGGCTGGAGTGGCAGATAGAGGAGGCTGAGGCTCTGAGTTTGAAGGTCAGTCAAGGTCCTTCAGCTACTGAAGAGAAAAAGGCCCAAATTAACCAAAAACTGAGCCAGAACTCCAGGGCTCCAGACTCCTGTCTTTCTGTCTCTCACAGTCTGGGACTGAAGATGGAATTCGTGTAGATTTGCACAGACAGGGACCCATGCCACCTCAGAGTGAGCTCCCCTAAGCTGGTCACCTGCTTACTCCACCTCTGTGCTCACACAGCCGCTGGAGCACAGCTGAGTCTGCCCCATACTGCCAACAACTTAAAGGTGGTGCCTAGTCTAAGGCATGAACAGCTAGGGTTGGAATGAAGTGGGGGTGTCCCAGTCCTGGGTGAGACCCCAAGAACCTATCCTCTTGTGGCTTGGGCAGGTGGGCAACAGCCACGGGACTCCTAACGTGATGGTTCTAAGGTTAAACTGGGCCAGGGCACGGGAGCAGGCATCAGGGTGGCAGGTGGCAGGCGGGGCCGCACAGAAGAAAGCAGCAGCTCTACTTCCTGTGGGTTAGAGCCCTGCGCCTGCCGCGGAGAGTTTGCACAAATCTTCCCGTGCTGGCCTCAGGCTGCCTGCCTGCCTTCCTGGCCTGTTGCACATCCTGCCTCTCTCTCTCCCACTCTCTGTCTGCCACCTGGGCTGCCTGCCCTGGGCCTCAGCCTGAGTTCGCCATCACCCGAGCTGGCGAGGGCCCGGACTGGACATCGTGGCCCACCCTCTCATCGCCGGGCAAGGCTCCTTCCTCATTTCGCTGCTGATTCTAGCCCCAAACAAAACAGGTTGAGCCCTTTTCCCTCCCTCCGGCAGTTGTCTCTGGCTTGTGGCTGCTTTCTGAGCTTGCAGACAGCGCCGGCTGGAAACAGGAGGGAGGAGGGCCTGGGCCAGCCGTGGACGGGACCAGGAGGAGCTCCTGACTCCTGGCCCATGTTCAGACCTGCTTGAGGCATTCGACACAACAGACAGACGCCCGAGGATGATGGCCCAGCTGCAGTTCCGAGATGCCTTCTGGGTGAGTGGAGTCCCTGGGGGCGGTGAGTTTGTGGAACAGGTCCAGTCAGGCATAAATGACCCAGGAGGGCGACACAGGGGTGCAGTCCTGTGAAGGGAATTTTCTCGTAAAAATTGTACCCTGACTTTGGTCTTAATTATCAGAGAGGTGGTCTGAGCTACAGCGTCTACTGACTTGGAAGGCAAAAGAGCAGCTCTGACTGAGCTAATGATTTCTCTACAGAAATCACCCCCGCAGCCGGCAGAGGCATGTTCTCTGTGATCCCGCAGCCTGGCTCTCCTCTGGGTCCTGCAGCCCCAATAGCAGAGCTTACCAGGACCGCCTCTAATGGGGGATTTGAGGCGGACACGGGGAGAGGGGAGGGGGACCACGAGGGAGTCAGCAGCCCTAGCGCCAAGCCACCTTTTGTTCAGTTTGGTCCTCGGCTTTGGATGAGATTACTTTTTCTCCCTGGGCCTCAGTTCCTATGTCTCTATGATGGAGACCAATACAAATAAGCATGGGACAGCTGGAGGTGACCCAGTGATAAAGCCCTGGCGCACTGTCCCTGTCCTTTCTGTCTCTCACCTCTGAGCCCCTATACACCTCAGGTCACTGAAGGAGGCCACTGAGCTAGGCGGCTCCCTGCTTGCCTTTTCAGATTCAGCACAGGTGTAAGTCAAATCTTTTCACCCAGGAAATAAGGGGATCTGGTCAGTGACGGCAGTCAGAGGGCTTGGCCCAGGCCACAGCTCACCCTTCCCTCTTGCTTTTCCACCTTCAGCTCTTCCTCTGCTCCCCCAAATCCACCCCACCCCAACTGTCCTCTGTGACTCTTAGAGACAAGTTGAGACCTTTTGGCTAAAGCTGGGGACAGGTTTCTCCTGAGGGTGACACCGCCGACCCCACAGGGGACTCTCTGGTTTTCTCACTCATGTGTTCCCACCCGAGCCTCAGCCTGGGCCCTTTCTTGGGGTTGCAGCCAAGAGGACGAAAGTTAAAAAAGCCACCCCTTCCTTCCTTTCCGGCCAGCTTTGCGTGAGGCCCATGCTAGAGCATGAGTTGAGAGGCCTTCCTCCCTTGAAACTGCCTGCAAAGAGGAGAGAGTACCTCGTGCCTGCCTGGCCTTCAGTTTCCCTCTTTACAAACGAAGTGTAAGACCAGTCCTGAGCTGTGGACGAAGGCAGCTGCCTTGCCCATCTCGTTCACAAGGGCTTTCGTTGCTCAAGCTGACAGCCAGAATCCAACTGCTGCTCTGATTTGGAGTTCTGCAGCCATCTAACCCTACTCTCCCTATCCCAACCCCACACTCTTGGGCTCTCCTCCTCTAGATGCCCCAGGGGCAGGGTCCAGGCAGAAGGACAGTGTATGTGGCATCAGGGTGTGGCTCAGTGGCGGCGGCAGCACCCAGCTCACCCAGGGCCGCTTCCTGCATGGTGTCACACCCACACCCTGTACTTGCCACACCTCTAGGCTACTGCAAACCTCAGGGACTTCAGGTGCCTTCTCATTTCCAGGGCTGACTTCCCGGGCCTGGGTTAGGAGGAGCATCCCAGAGAAGGCAGAGCAGGGATGAGGAGGAAGGTGGACCGTGGAAGGCTTTCACGCTGCGCTTGACATCTCTTGTGCAGCCCAGCAGCACACCCTCGGAAAACAGCCTTAGGCCTAGAGCAGTGGCACCTGCTTGCCCTCTCAGCTCAGGGAGCAGAGACAAGAGGGTCAAAGGAAGTCCAAGCCTGGTCTGCATAGTAAGAGCGTGGAGAGGAGAGAGAGAGAGAGAGAGAGAGAGAGAGAGAGAGAGAGAGAGAGAGAGAGAGAACAAGGCAGTGGGTGTGGCGAGGAAGAAAGCAAGGGAAGAAAATGACATCTAGCCTTTTATTTTTTTAACAAAATTTTATTTTTATTTTATGTGTATGGGTATTGAATCTGTGTACCATGTGCATACAATGCCAGTGGAGGCCAGAAGAGGGTGTCAGATCCTCCGAACTGCAGTTAAAGATGGTTGTAAGATACCTTACGGGAGTAGGGATTAAACCCAGGTCCTCTGAAAAAACAGCTAATGCTCTTAGCCATTGAGCCAACTCCCTAACCGCAACATCTAGTTTTTAAGTTGTGTAAGGAAGCTTCTGAGCTGGATGCAACATATATAGTCTCAGAAGACAACATTTTTCTGGCCACTTTGTCTATCCTGAAGACAGGTGGGAACCAGCAGTACTGGTTTAACTTCCTTTCTGTTTATCCTTTGTGTCTTTGACATCGTGACTCCACATCAAGTCTCCTGATTTTACCCATCTCTTCCACCCCCCATAAAACAAATTAGAATTTGAGAGAAGGAAGGGGAGCCGGAGAGATGGCTCAGAGGTTAAGAGCGCCGCCTGCTCCGCCCAAGGTCACAAGTTCGATTCCCATCCATCACACTGATGAATAACTCGCTATATATGAATAATCAGGGGGGGGGAAGAGAGAGAAGGAAGGGGGCCAAGGAAGAAAGAGAGAATCTCGTCATGGAAGCTGCAGCGTGACACAGCGAGTCACGCAGTAAACCTCTTTATCCGTGCATTTTTTACATGCAGGCATTCATCCCAAAGAATCATGGGTCTGGTTGGAGGCCCCTGGCTCTGCACACCTTTGACACTAGGCCCTCACTGGGACTTCTCCTGTATATCTAGTTGCTGCCCTGTGTCGTGGAGACTTTGGAGCCCTGGTCGGCAGGACTACCTCCCCTCTCCCCCCATGCTCCAGGGATCACAGATGTGGTGGATGTTTGGGCGGGCCAACACGTAACCCTGGTTCTGGGTAGTGACAGAGTCGGTCAGCCCTCCAGCCTGGTGAAGATCACCAGGGTGAACGCTCCAGCACTGCTCTGGCTAGCTCACCCCTTGCAGTGACGACAAGGGGCAGAGCTGCTTCTTCCACTTTCACATCCTCAGAGTTGGTTCTCCCACGTCTACACCTTCGGGGCCAGCTCCACAAGTGCTGCGCTGCTGTGGGCAGAACCAGCTCTCCCACCTGCCTCAGGCATTGATGGGGGAGGGCGTGGCCTCCAGGCCACCACGTAACAGCTGAGGGGCGGGGTTAGGTCTCCTGCCCACCTTCTCAGAGTTGGCTCACCTGTGCCTTCGCCAACAGAGTCAGCTCTGCTGGGCTGCCCAGACGAGGTGCAGGGCCCACTTTCCTGAGTGTTGCATCTGGTAAAGGGGTAAGCTCCCCGCCCTGCCCCACCTCACCCCAGAGATTTTAACGAGGTCCACAAAGTTTCTTGACCCACGATTTGAACAAGAGGTATGGAGGACTACCCTCCCAGCCAAACCACCACACTCCCTACGAGTTCAGCTGGGGCTGTTAGTCCTTGGAAGAAAGGGTCTGGAGAGTCATGTCGAGCCTCACCTGAATATCCAGCTGCACCCTCCCACCCAGTTGTCGGCAACTTTGCCCTAATTGCACGTGGCCTCACGTCTGGTTCTGGGGAAAGGGCCAGAGCATCTACACAGGGAAGGACTAGGGAAGAGGTGCTGTCTGTGAAGCTGTGGGGAAGCTGTCATCTCTGCTGGCTGCAGACCTTCTATGGGCTGCTCCTGTCCAGAACCTCTCACCCATTGCTCAGTAAGTGAACTCATTGGTTCCCCACTGCGGACGTCATTGGTACCATGGAAGGAGGGGGTAGACGCTGTCTTATGCTTTCGTCTGTGGAAGGAATTTTAACAAGGGTGTCCATGGAATCCTGTAGATAGTAGAGGCCTGTCTGGAACCTGACTCATAGCCTAGAGATAGAGAGTCACTGCTGAGATAGAGAGATGTTGGTGGACCTGGTAGAGGCATTCTTACCTGGTAGTAATGGAGACAGAAAAATTATAGAAAACAGATGATAGGCTGGGCATGATGGCACACACCTGCCATACTGTATTGGAGTGGAGGCAGGAGGATAGCAAGTTTAAGGACAGCCTGGGCTACAAAGGAAGCTGTAGGCTAGCCTGAGATACACAGCAAGGTCCTGTCTCACGTCCTTCCTCCCAGAAAAGGCAGATGTAATGACTTAGAGGTGGTGGGACACTTAGCATGGGAACCGCTGGTTATTCTGTCCCTCACTAGCCAAGCTTTGCAGTCCATCACAGAGCCCCACAGCATCAGTGGCCCACAGTCCAAGGCTGGCTGCTTGGGGATGAGTTTGAGAGGCTGGCTACAGTGAGAAGGAAGGGATAGTTCCTTCTCAGGACCTCTCAGGTGAGATCAAATTAAGACTGAGAACACCGGGCTTCCCCCACTGAGAAGGCTTTATGTCTTATAGACCCTGTTTAGCATTGGGTCACAAGTTATAAGAAAGCCCCAGCCACCACAGCCCCAGACACCAATTAGCATGTATGTCCCACAGTCTAATTGCCTTCCTGAACTCATTTTCCCTTGGTTTCATTTTCTATGTTCTACACGTGTGTGTATGCATGCACGCATGCACGCATGTGTGTGTGTTTCAAAATTACGTTTTAGTTTATAGGAGGGCTCACCCACCATGGCATGCCAATTAGGTCAAAGGACATCTTGCAGGAGTCATTTCTCTTCCTTCCACCACGGGGGCTGTGGGGATCAAATTCGGGTCACCAGGCCCAGCAGCAGTCACTCCTACCCACTGAATCATCTTACCAACCTCTACAGATTGTTTTTGAGTAGAATTCTGTGCTAAATGATCTAAGATAAGATAGACCCTTGAGTTCTATTTCCACATCTAGCTGAATAAGGTAATCTTGCCTTCAAGGATGCCACGGCTCAGTTGGGGAGCTTGAGGACCCCAGATGATTGGGCTGGGCAGGGTATGTCCTCAAGCAGCAGTGTCCAAGCAACGCCTCCCACCACAGCCTCTGCTCACTGGAACCTGTACAGCCAATGGCCTCAGCAAAGGAATTCTTGGGTGTTGTTTTAAGAGGGAAAATCTATTTCTGAGCCAGATTTTCATGAGGCTCATCTGATCTCTTTGGGCATAATAGAAAAGTAAGTGCTACGAAAGGTTGAGACCTGTATGCTGTCCTGGG